GGGTTTAGGGCTTAGGGTATACTTAGTAAGTAAGGTTATAAGTCCCCTAATTGGGGTTATATGTATAGTTACCCTAATTGTAGCCCTACTTACTAAGTCCCATGACCCTTCAAGTAGGGCTTAGGGTCTAGAGTATAGGGTTTAAGGTTTAGGGTTTAGGGTTTAAGGTTTAGGGAGGCTTTCAACTGCACCACAATCCCCAAACCCTAAACCCTAAAAAGAGTCCCTAATAACCATGATAGGTGCTTCAATGGCTGAGGGTTTTGGGCTTTGTTGGGTTGACAGGGTGTCGGATTGAGGAGAAAGGGCTCGATTTTGTGGGTTTAGGGTTTAGGGTTTTGGAGGGTTCAGGGTTTAGGGTTTAGGGTTTTGGAGGGTTCAGTTTTGTGGGTTGAGTTGGGGGTCTGAGGTTCGTAGAGTGGTTAGGGGTGCTTCTTTAGGGTTTGTAAGGATTTCCATAGCGGTTAATATAGAAGCTTGAATAAACACAAATAGTATTCCTTAGGAGACCATCATATACCGTATTCAATCTGCTCAGACCTCTACATCAAGAGTTTTGGCAGGGGGCTTGCGATGGTAAAGCTCTAGCAACAGTCCAGCCCTAAGCCTTAAGACCCGCTCACAACCCACTGAACTCCATAAACCCTTCGCGAACCATGGACCCTAAACCCTAAACCGCTAAACCCTAAACCCCTAAACCCTAAACCCCTAAGCCCCAAACCTCTAAACCCTAAACCCTAAACCCATAGTTGCTTCGACGAAGGTCTCATTGGTGGCCCAAAGGTCCCGAGGGACTCCCCGTGTCCAGTCCGCGTGCATCCATGCACCATCTAGGGTTTAGGATTAAACCCTAAACCCTGAACCCAAACCCCTAAACCCCTAAGCCCTAAACCCTAAACCTTAAACCCTAAACCCTTATAGGAGGTTTGGGGGTTTCGGGTTTAAGGTTTAGGGGTTTCGGCACCATCTTTTGGCGGGGTATCGAGGTCTAGGCTTTAGGCGTTTAGGGGTCCACGTGCCCCCAAAAAATAGTAGGGCTTTCTGTCCGAGATACTAAACTCTGAAGGGCCTTTGGTACTTAAGACTTTCGTATTTGGGCACTTCCATCATGCTTAATTAGGCGGCTTTACGTAGGGTTTC